GCTTATACACGTACATGAAAAAACAATCATACTGAAAACATTTTAAAAAATTGTATCAAATCCAATTGTGATAACATTTCCTGCGTGAACATGCAAGTCTCAACTTGTATCAAGAGAAAGTTTTTGTACTAAAAAGTCAGTAAAGCAAAATACTTTATCTAGTGCCTACGGTGCAATATAATGACGTTAGACCAGTATTGTTATTTTTAAAGACAGTAGGAAAATAGCTTATCAAATTATCTTTAGGTAATTCAGTTCAGGACGTATGACTTTGTTATAAGTTGGGGTTACTTAAATTCTAGTTTTTCATTGAATTTGTCGTTTAGTTTTTAAAATGAAAAGTCTCCATTTTCATTTTATGTGAAATAGATTTATTTTAAAAACTTTTCCCAAAAATAACATATTAATGTAAATTTGTTTTTAAAGAGGGTGATATCTTTTATTCCTTGTAAAAGCATTTTACCTATATTCAAATCTGGATATGATTCAGATTTCGTTTCTAGTTTGAAAAAAATGACTTCTGTGACTATTGTTTCTGCTCCTTTTTTCTTTGCAAATCTTGGGAACGCATTACCATCATAATTAGAGTCTGAATTTTACTTTACCTTTGGGTGCTCTATTTTTTAAACAAATTCTGATTTTAAATACTTTAATCCAAATTGTGATTTATACCAAGTTTATTTCTAGACTTTTTGTCCCCAGCTAAGATCCTGCCCTCTCCCAAAAAGACCATTCTGGATTATTTAAAAAAATCAACCTCCTTTCAGACTTGCCATAGTATTTTAAAAAATATAGTTGCCTTTTTCTTGGTTTCATTGAGCTTTAATATTCTCAAACAAATCTCAGAAAGAAGATGCTGATTTTCTTTAATAGAAGTACATATTGCTTCTTGAAAGGCATTTTTATTTAAAGTTGGTTGGGTAAGACAAATGGAACAACTAGTTAAGCTCATTCCTTCTGTACTTATTTTTAACTTCAAAGCTCCTAGTTTTAACCTCTGGTTCAGTCCCATCTTACTAGATTTAAGTGGCTTTTGTTTTGTTTTTTTTTTCATGCAGGTTCTGCTCATTAATCACCACGAGTGTGGATCTGAAGAAGAGTTTATTACCTCTCTTTTTTTGAGTATGTTTAACTTCAGATACACACAACGTAGCCTCTCCTTCCCTATTAGATTCTTAGAAGGTAGTTATATTTTTATAGTATCCTTCTTGTGACTTTGATAGTTGTGATCAATAAGAATAAAAACTATTCCTTACATATTGGGCTACTGCATGCAAATCAGTTCATTTAAAACCTCCTGGAGGTCTTTGGCATGCCAGACATAAAACCATGAGTGTTTGTTTGTGGAGGTAACGATGTTCCAAAGAAATTTAAGACTTTAATTCTCTTATCAAGAAACTGGGTGAGTTATCCTTTAGGTTCTGGGAATCACTGACCTTAAGGGGCTTGCTTTTGGTGTGTGATTTTTTAAATTAATTTAAAATGGGAAATGATAAATTAGAAATGCTATTGTGGTATTAGATCTGTGAATGAATAGTAGAGAGAAATTAGCTTGTATTATACCTATTTTACAAACTACCTGATTTATCATGTCTTATTAAATATTAACGAGCATATACTTTTCCATGTCTGTAATTTTTAGACACATTGATATATTTTTCTTACTGTACATGAATATGATGTATGAAATGTGATAAATTAATTTTTTTATATATATATATGTCTAGGGTTGGAAAAAAGAAAGAATTCTAGCTGAATATCCTGATGGCAGGATAATAATGGTTCTTCCTGAAGACCCAAAGTATGCCCTGAAAAAGGTAAATTTCCAGTGAAATTTCACACATAATGAATAGTATAATTTTGCAGCTAATTTTAAGAGTATAGCATATTGCTGGCAGAACACATTTAAAAACCAATTCTGAAAACAAGAAATAAGCATTTAGTCACAACCCAACTGAAAAATTATGCTTTAACTTTGTAGTGTATCTAGCATAAGTGAAATGAATTTTTAGTGGATTGATTACTGTCTCATATTACCAGTAATTTGAGTGATGGTATGAAGGCATAGTAATGAATAATGCCACATAAATTATTTCAAGAATCAAAATTAAAATAAAAATCTGAATCATAATTTGTAAAATTAAAATTAATAAATGTCATTTTATTCTGAGTAAATTTCTAAATAAAAGCTTATTGCAGAAGGGGATCTAGTAGTAGGTCATAGTTATCCTTAAGTTAAACATGAAGTAATCATAATGTTAAGGTAGAAAATAAGGTACATTCTGATTTATAAATGTAATGGAGAAAACTTAAAATCCTCTTATCTAGTGTGAGCCAGGTTTTAGTCCAATTTAGGGTTCAGAGAAATGAACCAGAGAGATAATGAAGTCTGGAACCATTTTATTATATAGAGTACCCTAAATGTCAGGAGACCATTGGGCAAACTTATTTTTAATGAATATATTAATTACATTTTCAAATAATATACTCAAAATGTTTTTCCTCCAGATGCTTTTTCAGAAGTACCTCATAATGTAAAGCAGTGGGTCTGTTTATCTGAAAAACTTAATTAAACTAGAGTGTTTTCAACATATCTAGAAACACAAGGAAAGTCGTTTATTTACTTTTCTCAGGTTAATAGTTGGACCTCTTTAAATTTAGGAATACTTCACCTGAAAGGGAGGTTGAAGAAAAACACTTTGAACCTGTTATTTGAAAATATAGCTAACATTCCACTTACAGATCCTTGAACAACAGTTGGGGGAGGCAGTGTTGATCTACATATAATTCGGTGTGCTAGGTTCCTCTATATCTTCGGATTCAACCAACCACGGACCATGTAGTACTGAAGTATTTACTATTGAAAAATATCCATGTAAAAGTGGACCCATCCTGTTCAAACCTGTGTTGTTCAAGGATCATTTGTATAAGTTTATCCTGTGGTTCCTGACTTTTCAGGTACCCTGAATATATAACTGAACAATCCCCGATACTCAAATAAGCCCCCATGTTACCACTGCTGAACAGTATAGACAGTAGTATTTAGAATGGCACATAAGCCTGTCTTGTATTTGAAACATTGATCCTTGCACAGAAACAAATACTTGTTGAATTAATGTTGGATTAGTAACTGACTAAATGAAAATTAAATTATGGAATTTTTGGAATTCCAACTGTTATCATTTGGAAATGCACAGTGGGTACTTTGCTTTACTGCATGTGGCGTCCAGACATTTCTTACCAAGACTCCACAGGAAATTCTAATTTCCTCATTTTCATTTCTCAGGACAGACTCTTAGTAACCTACAATTCAGTATGTTACTGGTTAGTAACCCATAATAGGTTAAAAATTAAAATCTAAGGAATTGTGAGTCATTTGCCTTTAGGAACTGAGTCAGGTATTGTACTGTGGGATATTGTTATAGGATTAGGAGGACTTGAGTTTTCATCACTGAATAAGGGATGTATTACATGGTATTCTGCATGTCAGAGGTGTGAGTACTTAACCCTCTTAGGTGTTATTTGCATTTTAAACTTAGTGTCACAAATGAATGTTTATTGGACTGAATATTTGCAGATTATTTTTTAACTGGGGAGAGAACTAATGTTTGGGTGCCTACAAAAATCTTGACTTTGAGAACCTATAAAAGTTTGAGCTTACCGTATTTGACCTTGACCACAATTCTAGGAGGTAACAGAAAGAAGCAGTTTGATGCCATATTAACATTGAAGGTTCAAATCCCAGAAATCCCAGCTCTTTGGTTCTAGGTGTCCCATATCTGACATGGGAAAGTTACTTTTGAATTTTATTTCTTCTATATGCAAAAGAAACCACAAGCCTCTAAGAGGTGTTGGATTTAAATGAGATAATATTGATAAAGTGCTTTGCATAATGTCTGGCCTATAAATGGTTGATAAGGAGTAAACATTTATGTCTGTCCTCTGTGTTCACCTGTATTTTACTGATGAGAGTATTCATTAAGCCTTGCGAAGAAGAAACGTGTGGCTTGCCTGGCGAAGATTCCAGTGAAGTTCTGTCCAGTACTCAAAACCCATGATCCTTCTAATGGGAAGTCTTTGTTCTTATTACCTATTGTAGGAGCTCTCACTCCTGTTGTTCCCAGACTGCTGGGCTTGACATTACTCTCCATTCTTTCCTCCTTTTGCAAATTGGTCCACAGGGCTTGAAAAACATTTATTGGTCAGGACAGTCATTCAGAAGCACTCTTCAGAGGATATCCTGCTTGGAATAATATACTCAATTTATTGAACTGAAATAGTATATTTTTACATATATAAAATGCTTTTGTTGTTAAAAAAATATATTGTTCTTTATTTGGCAGGTTGACGAGATTAGAGAGATGGTTGATAATGATTTAGGTTTCCAGCAGGCTCCGCTAATGTGCTATTCCAGAACGAAAACACTTCTCTTTATTTCTAATGACAAAAAAGTAGTTGGTTGCCTAATTGCAGAACATATCCAATGGGTAAGTGATTTTTAAAGAGTGCTCGTATGTAGTATGGTGTTTAAAGAGTTACAGGAATAACATAATCCTGGTAAATTTTTCAGCGTTTTATGTAAGGAAGAGTATGAATGCAGGAATTCCTGTGTGTAATTCTTTACTACAGTGGAGTTGTATCTTGCATGGGAATTAGTTTCTCAAGTCAGTATAAAGTATAAGAGAAAAATTCTGTAACTCAAAAGTACTATTAAATTTTGTTCGGGAAGTTTCCTTGTTGGCTGCTAACATAATGTCTGTCTCAGTCCCTTCAGCGCTGGAATAAATCAAGGGTTGGCAAATTACAGCCTGAAGGCAAAATCCAACCTGTTTTTTATAAAGTTGTATTGTAGCACAGCCATGCCCATTTGCTTACATATTGTCTGTGGCTGCTTTCACACTACAAAGACTGAGTTGAATAGTTGCAACAGAGGCCAGGTATGCTGCGAAGCCTAAAATACTTATTGCCTGGCCCTTTATGAAAAGTTGCGCACTCCTGCAGTGGATCACCACTTCTTTGGTTGAGCTCTAGATGAGGACTCGGCTTGTATTTAAGAGCCAAATTGTGCAAAAATCAAACAATAGTATCTTTTAGTTGCCTGCAAGTGGATGCTTCATCATAAAATTTTCTAATAAAGTACAAAGTCAAAACAAATCTGCGTGAGTTAATTTCCATATGTTAAGCTACATTAAAAAAATTCAACCTGAAATTGTGTAGTTTATGAATCTTGCTGTTTGTAATTACAAATTTGATTTAAATAAATAGCTGACAAAGTAGTTTGGAGGTACAAATTTGATATAAAATGACTAACTCATAACAGCTTGCCATACTGTAATTGAGTTAATTTTTGCATAGTACAAATTGTCTGGGTTTATTTTTTCATTGCAGTGGATTTATTCTTTGCTTTATCATTTATCCACTTGATAGGTCCCTGAGTCTTGATTGTCCCACTTTTAAGAGATATCAACAATGTCATGCTTGATTTTCCTGAATGCCAAAGTACTTTCAGTGTGTATTGAATAACTGTTGTGTGTTTAAGGATTGTCCTTAGCAACTCACCCCCCTTAATTTCACTCCAACTAGCATGATTTATTACTCCTGAGGGTGGTTAATAGTAAGATACCAACTTGAGGGAAGTATCAGTTTTTAGACGAAATTGATGATGGAAACAAATGAAGTTAATTAGATGAGGGAAATTAAATATTTGAAGTCAGATTTGCACAGAGTGACAAAGATATTTGCAAATTTTATGATAGAGCATTCTTACATCTGTTTGGCAAATGACTAAGCATTAAAAGAAATTGCAGACATCTGTCTTGTTTTTGACTGTTTCTTACAGTGTTTTGTATTTGGTTGTTGTTGTTCACAGTGAATGTTCTTCAGTAAACCCTTGTAGTTTTCTGGGTTTTTTTTTTTTTTTGGCCGCGCTGCGTGGCTTACGGGAGCTCAGGTCCCTGACCAGGGATTGAATCAGCCATGGCAGTGAAAGCACTGAGTCAGGGAACTCCCCACCCTTGTGTTTTTTAAATTTTTATTCTCCCTAGTTCTAAAAATGACTTGTAGCAGTGTTTAGATTAGAACATAGTTGTGTAATATTTGCTTGTTTGTTCTTTGTTAACTCTCAGTTTTGTTGTCTGATTGTTTTAACTTGTATACCACGTCCCATCAGAAGGCTAGCCATGTCCCTTTTTGGCCACTAGACTGGCAGAAGAGGTGTATGATTTCTTAGAGTATTTTTCTTTTTAAGAGGTAAGAGTGTAGGGACAGGACCTTTTTAACTCTTGATTCCTCTGCCATCCCTCATCCTAGTTCCTGCACAGCTGTGAACCCTAGAACTATGGCAGCAGGCCCGGAAACAGTTGCGACTGCCAAGTTCTTAACATGTCCTTTTGCTGGTCCTAGGATATGGGAGGTAGAGAAAATTAGCATTCAGTTCCTATTATGTGCCAGCCGTGATGGCAGGCTGCTTTGTATATATTTCCTTATTTAATCTCAGCAATTCTCTGAAGGAGGTGGTGGAGAGTTCCAATTTATTGGTAAGGAACCCAGAGCATAATTAAGTAACTTTATCTCATGGTCACATAACTAGCGAGTTAGAACAGAATGTAGATCCAGGGCTGTTTATTTCCTAAAATGAGGGTGAAAGCTTAAGTGGTTCCCATAGTTTAAGAAGGCAGACGAAAGTAGTGACCTCCTCACTAAGGTCAGTACCAGACAGTTGCTTAACAATATTCCCACTTTAAAATTCTCGCCCCTCCAACAGTGTCTTTGTGTATAATGGAGTCACTTTGCCGTGCAGCAGAGACTGGCACAACATTGTAAATCAACTCTACTCCAATATAAATAAATAAAGTTTTAAAATTTCCCCCTATTTTGCTACATATAGGGCTACAGAGTTATAGAAGAAAAACTTCCAGTTATCAGGTCAGAAGAAGAAAAAGTCAGATTTGAAAGGCAAAAAGCCTGGTGCTGCTCAACATTGCCAGAGCCTGCAATCTGTGGGATCAGCCGCATATGGGTGTTCAGCATGATGCGTCGGAAGAAAATTGCTTCTCGCATGATTGAATGCCTAAGGTAACTTAAATGTAATTCTTCAAGTCATTTTCAGTAGTTTAGGATTTAAGCAGAGTTTTATATAAAGAATGGCATTTAGGGGCTTCCCTGGTGGCGCAGTGGTTGGGAGTCCGCTAGCCGATGCAGGGGACACGGGTTCGTGCCCCGGTCCGGGAAGATCCCACATGCCGCGGAGCGGCTAAGTCCGTGAGCCATGGCTGCTGGGCCTGCACGTCCGGAGCCTGTGCTCCGCAACGGGAGAGGCCACAGCAGTGAGAGGCCTGCATACCGCAAAAAAAAAAAAAAAAAAAAAAAATGGCATTTAGTTAAACTTAAATGTGTAACCTTTATTTATATTAATTTAAAATCTGCATAAGATTGTCAGTATGTTGGATCTGTGAGTGCTTTTTATGTGAAGTTAACCTGAGGGGGAAGAAAGCACTATGGGTTAAGTATTATTAAACCATTTTAACTTTTTAAATTTGTATCTATGATATCAGGCCAAAATAACCCACTTATTCCAAATTGCGTTCAATATTAGAGAATCTTAAAGATAACCAAAGAAGTATGGGAAATTTCTTGGGAGTTTAGCTTTTGGGAAAATTTGTCTTAATTTAAGAATAGTATTTGTAAATAATCTAAATCTCTTAATAGTTTTTCTTCTTTTATTGCTTGATTTTTAATCAAAGGTATAGAGGAAAAGATTCAGAAAATTACATGGTTTTTGCTCTTTAAAGCATTTTTGCTAAAGGGTTAATGAAAGAGGTTTAAATTAATCATGCAAATGAGGTTTTTTAGGTTGGTCTCTTGTGTCTGTTCATTCATAGAATACCTATCTACTACTACTTATAGGTATAGCTTTCAAAATAATCCATTATTGTTATAAGTGAGATCCTAAGACTCTTAAGTCTCTTAGAGCCTTACTGTGTTTCAGGTCTCTCTCCCTTATTTTTGTTTTATCAATGAGTAGTGATCCAGAAGGGCTTAGATCTACCTACCCTTCTCTTGACAAGAGGCAGGTCTATTTTTAGCTCTTTCGGAACTAAACCTGGAAAATGCAGCTGATTAAATAATTGTCCTAAATGAGGGTATTGTCCCTCCTTTAAATCTTGTAAAACTTAGGTCTTGTCAAAACCATAAGATGGTTCTAGTTTATAAAAGCATAAAACATTGTAGTCATTGTGTTTGTTCTGTGTGATACTGAGATTGCCACTCTAAGCGTCCTGTTAAAACCATAGAGGTTTCTAACTTTTTTCATTTATTGTTCCTTTATGTACCCATCTCACCTTGTTATGATTACAATATGAAAATTCTAATAGTCTATATCCTGGCAAAATTTAAAACATTTAAAAATAACAGCTTTATTGAGATATAATTACATAGCACAAAATTCATCTTGTTTTTAATTAACCATTTTTTCTTCCAGTTTTATTGAATTATGATTGACATACAACACTGTATAAGTTTAAGGTATACAACAAATGATTCGACTTACATACATCATGACATGATTATCACAATAAGTGCAGTGAACATCCATCATCTCATATAGATACAAAATTAAAGAAATAGAAAAATTTTTTTCCTTGTGATGAGAACTCTTAGGATTTACTCTCTTAACAACTTTCATATATAACACACAGCAGTGCTAATTATGTTTATCATGTTATACATTACATCCCTAGTACTTATTTATCTTATAACGGGAAGTTTATACCTTTTGACTGCCTTCATTGAATACCCCCTATCCCCAAATCCCCACCTCTCGTAACCATAAATCTGATCTCTTTTTGAGTTTGTTTGTTTATTTGAAGTATAATTGACCTACAACACTATGTTAGTTCCTGTTATACAACATTGTTTCCATATTTCTATACATTTCAAAATGGTCACCACAATAAGTCTAGATACAGATATGTCACCATACAAAGATATTACATAGTTATTGACTATATTCTCCATACTGTGTGTTTCATACCATTGACTTATTTATTTTACAACTGGAAGTTTGTGCCTCTTAATCTCCTGCACCTATTTCTCCCTCCCCCCCTGCCACCCTCCCCTTCCCTCTGGCAACCACCTATTTGTTCTGTGTATCTATAATTGTGTTTCTGTTTTGTTATGTTTGTTTATTTGTTTTGCATCATAGATTCCATGTATAAGTGAAATCATACAGCATTTTTCTTTCTTTAACTTATTTCACCCTCTAGATCCATCCGTGTTGTTGTAAATGGCAAAATTTCATTCTTTTTTGTGGCTGAGTAATATTCCATTGTGTGTGTGTTTGTGTCTGTGTGTATGTCTCTGGTTGTGTGTATACACACAGCATCTTCTTTATCCACTTATCTATTGATGGGCATTTAGGTTGCTTTCATATCTTGTCTATTGTAAATAATGCTACAGTGAACACAGAGGTGCATATATTTTTTCTAATGTGTATTTTTTTTCCTTTGGGTAAGTACTCAGGAGTGGAATTTATATGGTCATATATGGGTCATATATGGTAGTTCTATTTTTAATTTTTTTGAGGACTCTCCATACTGTTTTCCATAGTGGCTGCACCGGTTTACATTTCTACCAACTGTGCATGAGGGTTCCCTTTTCTCCATATCCTCACCAACACTTGATATTTGTTGTCTTTTTGAAATAGCCATTTTGACAGGTGTGAGGTGATAATACCTCATTGTGGTTTTGATTTGCATTTCCCTGATGATTAGTGATGTTGGACATCTTTCCATGTGCCTGTTGGCCCTCTTTTTGTCTTCCTTGGGAAGGTGCCTTTGCAGATTCTCTGCCCATGTTTTAATCAGGTTTTTTTTTTTTTTTGATGTTGAGTTGTATGAGTTCTCTGTATATTTTGGGTATTAACTCCTTACTGGATATATCATTTGCAAATATCCTCTCGCATTCAGTAGGTGGCCTTTTTGGTCATCTTTTTAAAGTGACACTTCACTGGGTTTTAGTATATTTAGAAGGCTGTGTAACCATCACCACTGTCTAATTCTAAGACATTTCCTTCAGTCTCGCCAAAACCTGATACCCAATTTCCCCATTTCCTTCTCCCCCAGCTTCTGGCAACCAATAATCTACTTTTGTTTCAAAGATTTGCCTATTCTGAACTGTATTTTTTTAATGTTTATTTATTTATTTAGCTGCATTGCGTCTTTGTTGTGACATGTGGGATCTTCATTGCAGCATGTGGGATTTTTCGTTGTGGCGCATGTTGTGGCATGCGGGCTCTTCGTTGTGGCATGGGCTTCTCTCTAGTTGTGGCGTGTGGGTTTTCTCTTCTCTAGTTGTGGCGCAGGCTCCAGAGTGCGTGGCATGCAGGCTCTCTTGTTGAGGAACACAAGCTCAGTAGTTGTGGTGTGCGGGCTTTGTTGCCCTGCAGCATGTGGGATCTTAGTTCCCTGACCAGGGATCGAACCAACGTCCCCTGCATTGGCAGGTGGATCCTTAACCATTGTGCCACCAGGGAAGGCTGTGTATTTTTATTTCTCTTGGTAAACAGAGAAATACTTGCGTATGTATATTTCTTTTGGTACATACGTAGGAGAATTGGGCCATATGGTAACCGTATAACATTTTGAGGATCTGCTGAACTATTTTGCAAAGTGGCTGCACTGTCTTACAACTCCACGAGCAATGTTACAAGGGTTCTAATTTCTCCTCATTCTCACCAACACTTGTTATTATCTGTCTTTTTAGCCATCCTAGTGGGTATGAAGTGGTATTTCATTGTGGTTTTTGATTTACATTTCCCTAATAGGTAATGATGTTTGTTGGCCATTTATATATATCTTCAGAGAAATGCCTATTCAATCAATCCTATGTCCATTTTTAAACTGGTTAATTTGTCTTTCTCTTCTTGAGTTGTAATAGTTCTTTATATATTCTGGAGATGAGTCCCTTATCAGATATATGATATGCAAATATTTTCTATCATTTTATGATTGTCCTTTCATCTTCTTAGTATTCTTTGAAGCACAGAAGTTTTTAATTTTGAACTCCAAATTATATATCTTTTTTCCTTGTCACATATCTAAGAAACAATATCCTCATCCAAGGCCACAAAGATTTAGGCCTGTATTTTCTTTCAAGAGTTTATAATTTTAGTTCCTATATTTAGGGTCTTTGATCCATTTTAAGTAAATTTTTGTGTATGATGTGAGGTAGGATCCAACTTCATTCTTTTCAATGTGGATATCCAGTTGTTCCAGCACCATTTATTAAAGAGACTTTTCTTTCCCATTGAATGGTCTTGCCACCTTTGTCAAAAATGATTGATCATAAATGTGAGGGTTTGTGTCTGGACTCAGTTCTATTCCATTGGTCTCTTATGCCGGCAGCCCACTGTCTGGAATACTGTAGATTTGTTGTAAGTTTTGAAATAAGGAAATGTGAGTTCTATAAATTTGTTCTTTTTTAAGATTCTTTTCACTATTCAGTGTCTCTTGCATTTTCATATGAATTTTAGGACCAGCTTTTTAATTTTTGCAGAGAAGCCCAGTATAGATCAATTTGGAGAGTAATGCCGTTTTAGCAATATTAAGTCTTCTGATTCATAAACATGGGATGTCTTTCTGTTTACTTAAGTAGCCTTTAATTTCTTTCCACAACGCTCTATAGTTATCATTTTTTAGGTCTTGCATGTCTCTAAATTTAATCCTAAGTATTTACTCTTTCAGTGTTATTGCAAATGGACTTGTTTTCTAAATTTCATTTTGAATTGTTCATTGCAAGTGTATAGAAATACAAATAATTGTTTAATATCGATCTTATATCCTACAAACTTGCTGAACTCATTCTTTATTAGATCTAATAGTTATTTTGTGAATTCCGGAGGATTTTTGTGTATAAAAGATCATGTCATCTGTAAAAAGAGATAATTTTACTTCTTCCTTTCCAGCGTGGTTGCTTCTTATTTCTTTTGCTTGTCTAATATTTCTGTTTTAATAGAAGAGGTGTGAGCAGACGTAGCCTTATTACCCTGTTCCTGATCTCTGAGGAACAGTTTTCAGTCTTTTTTTCCATTAACTTTGATGCCTTTTGATGCTCTTTATCAGGTTGAGGAAGTTCCTTCTATTTAGAGTCGAAGTATTTTTATCGTGAAAAGGTGTTGGGTAAATGTTTTTAAAACTATGATTGCTTTTTATAAGACAATTATTTTTAAGTTTCTAGAATATACAGCATTACCTAAAAAGTCTTTATTCAAATTTTATTTGACAGGTTTTTCCAATTTTAATGATTAAAAATAATATACTTTTTTTTTTTACCCTTCTACCCCCCCCCCCCCCCC